GGGAGGGAGAGACAGAGACAGAGAGAGAGACAGAGAGAGAGACGGAAAAAGAGAGACGGAAAAGAGAGAGATGGAAAGAGAGAGACAGAAAGAGAGAGAGAGAGAGAGAGAGAGAGAGAGAGAGAGAGAGAGAGAGAGAGAGAGAGAGAGAGAGAGAGAGAGAGAGAGAGAGGAGAGAGAGAGAGAGAGATTCCATTGTTTTGTTTTTTCTAAGCGGATAACATGCATGCGGTGAGTTAGGTAGTGTAGTTTGTGTTGGTGCAGAAAAGCAGCGTCTCTCTTCTGCGCCTTACCACACTGGCCATGCATTTTCTCTTGTTCGCCTTGCCTGTGTTCATTCATCCTCTCTTGTTGCTCTCTGTCACAGACTGGTTGACGGGCAACAAGCACACCATTGTTGCCTTCACTTACACATCACAGCCGGTGAGTGGCTTGTACTGCGTCATGCACTGCTACAGAGCCATATGTATGTGTGTGTGTGTGTGTGTGTGTGTGTGTGTGTATGTGTGTGTGTGTGTGTGTGTGTGTGTGTGTGTGGTGTGTGTGTGTGTGTATGTGTGTGTGTGTGTGTGTGTGTGTGTGTGTGTGTGTGTGTGTGTGTGTGTGTGTGTGTGTGTGTTGTATGTGTGTGCACGTGTATGTCCGTACTAAGCAAGAATATGTCGTATTCATAGAGTTTGTACTAAACATGAGCGTGCATCTGAGTTCGTACTAAGTGAGTTCCACTGGGTACATGTTTCTCTCACTGTGCAGTCAAGAGTGCTGAAAACGGACGTACGCGTTTACGGCTATCGTGGAGCTAACGACATGGCAATCCGTGACTTCACCTTCTACGGCTGTGTACTCTCGGGGAATGTGACTGCTATCCTCAACCACAATGCACTGCCCGCAGAGTTCGTCCAATACGATATGGATACCGATGTGCTCCGAGTTACCGTGCCAACCACTCAACCATACCGACAGTCCATCGCGCAGGACTTCACGCTTGCCCTGACGGAGGCGAACGACTAGGAAACGTTGCCAATGTGCGCGTGTGTTGTAGTGGTCGTGGTGTGGGGGGGGGGGGAGGTCTGTGTGTGTGTGTTTGTTGTGTACGTGATCCCTGCGTTTGTATGTGTAGGCTTGCGCCATTACATCACAAACGGTCGTGTTAGCCCGAAACTACAATCACCTCTCGGTGACCATGTACATGCACATAGCATACAATACTTCAGTTTATTGCCTCAACAGTACACCTGTATAACTGCCAAGGTGGCCGAACAGCAAGACAGTGCGATGTGCTGCGTGTTGTTTCGGAGCTGAACCCTTTTGTAACTTTTGTAAATTGTATGTGTTCCTGCCTTCTAGGACCAAGGATTTTTTTTATTTCCGTATGTTTTCAGCTCATGCTGGCCCGTGAGTGGATTTTATTTTGAAATTCTTTCTTCACTATCTAATACAGCTTGCTACTTTGAAATTCTGCAATTCTAAACTTTTTATCTACATGTATGTCCTTTATATCTGCCCCGGGAATGGGCCTGTTTAATTTGGTATTACTTATAAATTTTATTATCACTGTGTGATCATGTTGTCTGGACGATGATCGTATTTATCCTTTGCAAATTTTGTTTCAGTAGATGAGGTATGTTACATTTTCGAGATGTTGTCTGGTATAAGACCCATGCCGTCGAAATGATCCTCTTGAGATTCCCACACATAACAACTTGTTTTGGAATTTCGGTTGATAGCTGCTATCGCTTCGTAATAATTCAGATCCGAAGTTGAGCATGATTTATTGCCTGCGTGATTTGGCTTGTATCTCTTGCAATAATTATTATTATCAAGTGTGATTTTGAAACTTCATGTACATGATGCGTGTCCATGGTGGGTCTCGTGTGTGGTTAGAGAGGTTAAGATGTACGTTATTTCCGACGTGACGCGCAATTTCACGTCAAATTTGCCGTAAAACTCTAAACTTCGACGTGAGCTGCAGGTCACTCGCGTTGTGTTTCGACGCATGAGCCAAATAACGTGAGCTGAACTTTCGCGTCACGTCGGAAATAACGTGCATCTGAACCTCTCTATTAGTATGATTACACTTGTTCACGGTTTGTTTGTTTGTATACTGTATTTGAATTCGCTAATCCAAACGAGCACAAATGCTCAATGACAAGGCAGCGAATATGTTACTATGTTACATGGAAGGAGGGGTGGGGAGAAATAAGGAGAAAAAAAAGAGAATGGTAGATATCTCAATGAAGAGCGAAGCGTTATCAAAACTACACTTGCAAGCTGTGAGTGACTTTGGCTTCCTTGCACGATATTGTTGTTTTGCTGTGGCTGCTGCTCTTCTCCCCCCCCCCCCCCCCCCCCCCTCTTTCACTCTCTCTCTTCTTCCCCTCCCCTAGTCTCCATCTAGATGTGACAATCATTCATGATATGCATGGAACATGCCCTAAGCTGCGCACGTTACTTGTGACCTGACGCGCATTCTCACGTCAAATGGGTTGAAATCTGGCATAATACGACAAATTTCGAAGTTAGATACAGCTCCCTAGGGCCCTTGCTTTGTTTTCCAACACGGTAAATAACGAGAGCGGAAATTTCGCGTCATGTCCAAATTACGTGGGGCTTAACCTCTCTAATGTTGGTCAGTCCAGCACCTTCCCATCGTACCACCACCGCATGCAGGGAGTCACCGAATTTGACGACTACCCGATTAATCCCCTGCATATGTTTTTTGATGATCGCTTAGTGCGTGAAACTCAGAGTTAAAACACTTTTCCGTCCTCTTATTGTTTGTTTTAACCTCCTGTATATGTGGCTCATACCACACGAAGAGGATTAGATGTGGGTTGTAACACCAGGTTTCATGCACAAAGCAATGATCACACAACTGTCATTAGGTAGAAAGGTTTGTGGACAATTCCTTGAAGACAAGAATGCAATTGTACTGAGAATTAGGTGAAGAACACACTTCAGGCTCTTGAACATTTTGAAAGTTTTCACTACTTGTATAAAGGTTTGTGGGTATAATTATAAACCAGCATCCAGATCTGTTTTATTTCGGGTCGTGATCATGATGACGTCGGCCATGTTGGTTCCACTGTCCACATGCATGCAGCCGTGATCACGTTCCACTCACAGGAGTCACATGATAACGACTACAGTACCGCGATTACCGTCGGGCGATGAAGAGCGGAGCGCCGAAGAACGGCCAGGCTAGAATTTCACCAAAGCACATCATACCAAAGTATACACGGCGACTCAACCGCGCACCGGCAGTAATACATGAGAATAAGACGATCTAGGCTAGGAGGCTCACCCCCCCCCCCCCCCCCCCCCCCCGGGCCCAGTTGTTCGGCGACCGAGAGGACCGTACTCAATATTGGCAGTGGACATACAGCCCTCATGACGCAGGCGTGCGGGTCCAGACTGCGGCCACTGGTCATGTGATGTGGGGGCCATGTTAGTTCCACTGTGCACATGATCACGTCCCACGCCGCTGAGTGGCCACATGGAAGCAGCAGCGGATCCAGTGATCTGTATACAGGGGGGTTCCAGTTTAGCCAAAACTGAATAGCTGATACATGTACATGGATAAGCATATGGTTGCCAGTAGCACATTAACGAAATTGAGGGGTTCCGCGGAACCCCTAGATCCGCCCCTGGGAAGGGACTCTGACCCACTACTCTATATTGGAAGTGGGAATACTTTGACCATGAAGCAGGCGTGCGGGTCCAGGCTGCGGCCACTGGCGGCCTGCGGGTAGGCGCCGATGGCCGTTACGTTCACCTTGCTCCACAGATCCGTCACGATCGCCTGCGTCGTGGCGCTCAGCCCGAGCATCTCGAACGTGACGCGCGCCGCCGGGAACGCCGTCTCGCCGAGGTTCACCACCACGACGGCCTGGTTGCGGCGGTCGTTGATCAGCTTACGCCACACCTGCACGTCGCCGGCCTTGTCGAGCTTGCCGATGAGGTCGCCCTGCGGTGCGCTAGTGTCGTTGTGCACGGCGAGAACGTCAAAGTTGAGCAGTACGGCGCGCTGGAAGTCGGACATGTTGCGCACATCGCCCGTCCAGACCAGCGGGCTCTGCAGCAGCGCCCACATGCTGAACTCGGTCACGTACTCCGTGTGCGTCTGGCCCGGGAAGTAACGCTTGCCCGGCGGCTGCTGGTCGGCCAGGCCCGTGAAAACCATATCCATGTCATTCCAGCCATGCTTGGCAGCACCACTGTAGTTGCTCATTCCGATCTGTGAAAGCAAACAAACAAAAAAAGAGAGAGAAAAAGTACAGTTTACATGTTCGCGTTACCACCGGTTACACAATAGTGTTGAAGAACACAACCAGCTTTGGAAACAAAGCACGCAACAAAGGGATACAAACGAAAAAATCCGGTGGAGCAAAAGTGATTAGATGCCTCTACCCACGTGTTTCATGCAAAATGCAAATCATCAGGATCGGAGACAACAAATGAATACCGTATTTACCCGGCTTGAAGTCGCATATAACGTTAGAAAAGTCGCACTCGATTGTAAGTCGCATCCCCATTTTTCACGTTTGAGCAATAAAGTTTCGATATATTCACTTCAGTAGTAAGGCATGCTCGATTGTAAGTCGCACCCCCTTTTTTACCCTGAATTTTAGTGTAAAAAGGTGTGCCTGGTATTCGGGGAAATACAGTACAGTTGACTCCCGATATAACGAACACCACTGTGCAGGAGAATTAGTTCTTTATAGCCAAAGTTTGTTATAACAGAAATGCACTCACACCATACAAGCAACGCATCATGACGTCCTTCCAATCTGTGTGCAAGCAAGCTGTAAGAGCGGCATGCAACAAACGAAAACAGTTGTTGCTGTTGTTGTTATGGTAAAAAAAGGAGAAGGACAACATGTTACGAGTTATGAATAGTTACTGTCCCCAAACCTAGCCATGCATATGATCTGGTTACGTTGGTGGACAGTTAGTCATACTAGTAACATTTTGACCTTCTCCTTTTTTTTTACAATAATTAAATTCGCTCATCATCCGAGTCAAAATTGTTGTTGTTGATTTTTTATTTGACTTGGGGTTAAGTGCATGTGGTGATAAATGCATACACAGATGCGCAAAAGCGAGCTGAGGATGGCAGCATGTAACTGTTCCATGAGTCAGCCAACATGCAACCTTGCGAATAACGGCGGTTGATAAAAAAATAACTGTTCGCGTGAGACTCGGCTGGAAGCCGAGTTTTCCGCATCTGCATGAACGCCACCACCCTCTTGGATTGAGGCGCAGATGCAGCTCCTAAAGCAAGTACTTCAGAAGTATGGGTATGCTATATCCATGGTATCAAGAGTACATAAAGAGTGCAATGTCATATTTTATGTACTCTTGATGGTAAGCTACATATGCCTTACAGTACCGTTGATTCGCCCCCTCTCTAATTTCTGCCTGCGAAGCGACGTCGTGCTGCACTTGAACCGACTTGATCCAATTCCCGCCCCTGCCGTAAAACCAGCTGGGAAGCGACACGTTATGTGTGTGTGTTTGGGGAGGGGGGGGGGGGGGGGGGATTATCGGTACTTTACGGTATATCCGTGGTACATTTATGACTATATCCGTGGTACGGTAAAACCTGTAACTAAAGACCACCGTGACTAGCGACCAGCCTGGTACTACAGACCACTTCGCCAGGCACGGACGCTCTCACATATTACGGTTGTGTGGTGCAAACCTCTAACTAAGAACCACTTGCCACTAAAGACCGCTTTCTCTGGCCCCAAGGAGTGGTCGGCAGTCACAGGTTTTACCGTATGTTATATCCGGACTGTTTTTAAAACACTGAATTGTTGGCAATGTTGCTTCCCTGCATGCCATGCCCCTCTCACCTGCTTTAGAATGATTCCACGTGTGCTCTTGAACTCGTCCATGTGGTCGCCAGTCACTCTCCACGAGTTTCCACATTCCGGCGCCCACTTCCACGGGTCCTCCACACCCCATTCGCATAGATTTATCAGCACCGGGCGCTTCGTGTCATTGAACGCCTTCGCTACCTGCGGGTAGAGATCCGTCGGCTTTTTCGGGTCGTTGCAGTTGTCGATCTTGATCCAGTCGATTTTCCACTCCAGGGCTAGCTGCTGGGCGTCGCTCGTATAATGGCCGTACATGCCGGACCGACGTCCCACGCAAGTGTACGTGCCGATGTCTTGGTAGACGCCGGCGCGCAGACCCTTCGAGTGGATGTAGTCGATCACGCCGGCGAGCGACCCGCTCGGAAAGCGCGTGGTGTTAGCCAACAGCTTTCCGGCGGTGCTGCGACCCGCGGCTCCCCAGCAGTCGGATATCATGACCGTATTGTAGCCGGCTGCGGCCAAGCCGGTCTCGATCAGTGCGTCCGTGCTATCCCGCAGAGTTTTCTCGTCGCAGTAATCTCGCTCGCCCAGTGCAAGCCACGAGCTCCAGCCCAGAGGCGGAGTGAGTGCCAGTCCATTGTCGAGAGCAATAGTCGACGGTACGACTTGCAGCAGAGCCAGCAACACTCCAACGGAGACTGAAAATACCCTTGGACTCATCCTGCCGGTGGCTTAGAACGATACAACTAATTATTTTGCTTGCGGGAGCTGAGCTAAAATGTGATGGTCGACAGCGTTGACAGCGTCGTCCGTCTCTCCCCGCTCCACTCCCTCTCTCGATGTCAGACGATCTCGAAGATGGACCAACCGGTGTACTAGCGGTAGGCAGGATTCTGTCATGTCCTTATTCCACCAATGGCAATGGCAGCATGATCATTGATCTGATTCCCAGCATACTGCTAGTACTAGTAGTATGTCAAACATGATACATATACTTGATAGTAGCACAATGGGCGCTTTCGATTACACGTTTACACAATTCTGGAACTGGGTTTTGTAATTCTCGAATGACCAAAATGTACGAATTCCGGCCATGTAAACGAACGACTGGAATTCACAACGCAGTTTATTCATGGCATATCACAAACAAAATTGGTCGTAAAAAGATATCACGTACACCCTCGCACGCGCATCGACCCAGCTTCGCGTACCGGTCCATCCCGGCGAAGGCTCCATGTCGGCAACAATATTGTGCTTCGATAAAACTGAACGCGTGTGCGAAAGGACCACCCAAAATGATCTGGTCTAATAATCAGCTCCCAGCGGAATCTCAACTGCGGCAATTAGCTTTTCGGGAAGACAAAAGTAGCAACTACATGCAGTTGTAGCCCTGCTTTCGCGCCACACCGGCCAGCTCAGGGAGGCTCTTCCTTGACTTGAGTCATGCATGACCAGACCGGTAACACACCGAGTGTGCAATTCTGGCGCCAGAATTAGAGAAATTCCGCCCTCTCTTCAGAATTGACGGATTTGACGGAATTGGATAAAATCAATTCTAACGACGGAATTTGTCACTTTTTGTGTAATCGAACTAGCTGTGCATCAACAATAACTAATTCTAGAATTGACCGAAATGCGTGTAATCGAACATACCGCACTGGGTCATGTTCATGTGCATGACACAGTGCGGTATGTTCGATTTGTGGTGACTCCAGCATCCCAGTGATGAGTCTGTGTGTTTGACCAAGCTGCATGGCCAGGGCCAGCGGCTGAAACAAGTGTGCATAAGTGACCCAGGCGCGTGCGCCGGTGCCCTTCAAGGGGGGTTCCGGGGTGTCCCCCGGAAAAATTTCAAAAAAATGAAGCAAAATTCTGCATTTTGAGCGAAAAAAGGGGGTTCCGGGCACCCAGGAACCCATACGGGGCACGCGCCTGCATAACAGTAACGAATTAGACATGGATAGCGTTTTACCGTTCGCGCTATTTTCGACGGTCGGCCTGTACCGTTTTTGTGTGTGTGTATGCATGGCATTTTACCGTTCACGCGTGCTACATCCAACGGTTCTCATACCCAACACCCAAAATACCGTCGATTTGGTACACTCCGACCGTCGAATATAGCGTGAACGGTAAAATGCTAACCATGTCTATTGTAAGCATTTTACCGTTCACGCTAACTTCGACCGTCGGCCTGTGCCGTTTTTGGTGTGTTTTCAAGACATGGCTAGCATTTCGGTTTTTGACACAACGATCGACTTGTGACGTAACCCTAGTCAGAATCTTACCCCACTGAGGACAGTTTTGCATTCTTGAAATGATACCACACTGACGGAATTTTGGGTGTTCGGTGCGAGTGCTAACCATGTCTATTAGGGGGGGGGGGGGGGGGGGAAGATAAGCCTGAAGTCAAATTTTCACCAGTTGTAGTCTTTGGGATGCTGAGTCGCATGGTCTTGGTCCAAAGAAGCTGAGACGTTCCGTTCCTCCTTTATTCCCAATCGAACACGCGCACTTCCACCCAAACTGCGTGACTGCGCCCTACTAGATGGGGATTTGTATGCAAAACGTCACTAAATGCGCCATTTTGTTCTTATACCGTGGTTGGCCCATATGTCGTAGTTCTTCGCACGCTGAGTCGACTTGTTTTGCTCCGAGAAAGCTGCAGTGTTCAGCCCGAATTCCCAATCGAATATAGTTGAACCATGTTCGATTGGGAATAAAGGAGGATCGCTGCATCGCAGCCTTTTCGGACCAAAACCAGTCGAGGCTGTAAGTTGTACCCTGCAGGCAAGGTGACCAGGTGACTGGTGTACGCAGGAGCACGTGACCGCTTGTTCAACCATGTTCGATTGGGAATAAAGGAGGAACGCTGCATCGCAGCCTTTTCGGACCAAAACCAGTCGACTCAGCGTCCAAAAGACTGCAACATAATATTATTATGATATGGGCCAATCGCGGTCATCCGGGCTTTTATAAGAACGAAATGGTGCTTTTAGTGACATTTTGCATACAAATCCCCATCTAGTAGGGCGCAGTCACCCAGTTTTGGTGGAAGTGCACGAGTTCGATTGGGAATAGGAGAAAGGGAGCATCTCAGCTTCCTCAGACCAAGACCATTCGACTCAGCACCCCGAAGACTACAACTGGTGAAAATTTGACTTCACACCGTGTCTAGCATCTAATATTCCTCAGGCTCTCCCGGTTTCAAATTCATAGTGATATCAAGGGTACACACTACAGGGGCGTTGGAAGGTATTTTAGTGTGGTACGGTCAGCCATCTGAAGAACAAATTTACTCGTGGGGGAGTGGTGGCCGGGCCGAAATTTGTGGAATTTTAGATCCCAGATCAGTGTATTTGGTTGATTCACGAGGTATCTGGGGCAACAAGTGGTACGCTCAATACCGTAGTGACCGTACCCTGTGCGACGCCCCTGCATGCAGTAGCTTGTTTACTCTTGGTGATACCAAGAGTACATAACCCCCCAGAGTGTGCAACGCCTGATCCAGCTCTGCATAGGGTCTTGGTCGAGCGGAATCGGATCTTTGCGTCATAATACCGTACACATCTGAGGGGAACCCGGGGAGTCGCGGGTACTCTTGGATCAAAAACAATGGCACCCTGCCTCGAGACCGGCCTTGCGCGGGTGTGGAGTGTACGCATGACATCAGAAGATCCGATTCCGCTCGACCAAGACCCCATGCAGAGCTGGATCAGGTGTTGCACACTCTGGGGGGTTATGTACTCTTGGTGATACCCTACAAGACATAACTATGTACTGTATAAGAAACGAGAGAGCTTGGAAGCTCAGGGCCCTACGCTATGCTTTTATGCTTTTTTGCCTAGGTCATCGTACATGTTATAAGAACTGAGGCAAAAGTATTTGCAGAATTTATTGCGGATTGTTATTTCTCTAATAATTATCTTCTTTTGGTTTGCTCCTTCTTTTCTTTTTATCTCCTTATACTGTAAATCAACAAATTTTGGCTGATGAGAAAATTAGAAACCTCTCTATTAGAGAGGTTAAGATGCACGTTATTTCCGACGTGACGCGCAATTTCACTTCAAATTTGAAATCGATAGGTATTTTTGCTCTCACATGCATCCATTGCTCAATAATGCATCAATTTCCTATATGACAAACCTTGGCCTGTGATTTACTTTTGCCGGTTGGTACCAAGCGGCGAAATCAGCGAAATTAAATCGCCAGCGAAAATTAGTTGATTTTAATACAGTAATCGGATTTTCTGGCCTTTTTGTAGTAATACATGTACATTGACCTGTTGAGCCAATGACGACGCCGAATGCATGGTTGCCTGTGGGGCACATTACATAACTTAGCAGTCTCCTAAAATACGTATCCTGTCCGACGGCAAAAGAGTCTGCAGATTTAGTTTTTCTGCGCGTCGACGGGATGTCTGCGACGCGAAAGTTCAGCTCGCGTTATTTGGCTCGCACGTCGAAAAATCAACGCGAGTGACCTGCTGCTCACGTGGAAATTTGGACATTACATAACTTTACAGTCTCCTATAATACGTATCCTGTCCGAAGGCAAAAGAGGCTGCAGATTTAGTTTTTCTGCGCGTCGACGGGATGTCTGTCCTGACGTTCACTGGGACCGGCGCTGACTCTGCCGATCACGGGCGTTCTGGACTCGACAGGATGTCTGTCCTGACGTTTCCTGGGACCGGCTTAGACTCTGCCGATCACGGGAGTTCTGGACTCAACGGGATGTCTGTCCTGACGTTGCCTGGGACCGGCGGACTCTGCCGATTACGGGCGTTCTGGAGTCGACGGGATCTCTCATCCGACGTTTCCTATGACCGGCGCTGAATCGCTCGTTCACGCTTATTTTGGAGACGACGCGATCTCTCCTCCAAAGTACATGTATGTTTATGCTGACGTGGCTGGCTCAACGCCCTTGTCTCAGGGGATTCTGTCCCTGCATTAGCTATGCTTGTCACATGCTATGAGATTGTGTCTAATAATAATAATAATAATAATAATAATGACGCTGTTTATGCTGACGCATCCTATCACCTATTCGGCGTCTATTCTAATTTAATTTCCTCCTCGTCTCCCTATTTCATTCCAAATCTCCCTCTATCTCCCTATTAAACATCAGGGGTCGTATACATAATACGACGAATATTGGTACGGTACAGGACAGATACAGGAGCCCGCAAATATTGTGGACAGCTGTTATGTACAATCCTGTAGAGCCTTTGTAGTCACAGATACGGGACAGATACGGGACAGATACGGGATAGCGCCAGGCGTGACACAAACAAACAAACAAACACACAAACAAACAAATACCAAATTAAAGCTGTGTGGACCCTGGCTAGCGCCAGACGTTACTGAAGTAACGTCTTCTGCATAGCTACGGGAATAATTAAAGTCTGGTACACCCACATCAACGTTAGCACCGCCTATACAATTGTATTGAGAAACACCACCAGCTTAGGGGCCGTCCAAGGTTACCAATAATATTTTCAAAACGAAATGTTTTCGTTTGTGGGTGGGTGGGTTTGATGGAGTTTCGTTTTGAAAATAATCATCGAATGCTCATGGAAAATGCCCAATTACTTCTGGGTGTCTAAAATTGACATCAATATTTTATTGGAATTCGTTTTACCTGCAGAAAAGGTGGGTGGGTGGGTGGGGGCTGAAAAATACTAAAGCTTTTCGTTTTGTAAAAACAATCGGTAACCCCGGACGGCCCCTTAGAAAGTTCCGCTTGTGCCAGCGGCCACCACCATACCCGGGTGGCAGATATTGTAGGTCAACAATGGGGAGATATGATCATGATGCTTGTCACCCAGCTTCTACTTTTCGCCCATCTTTGTCACCACTCCAGTATTCTTTGTAGGTGACGTGTACGGTAAAACATGTCATTTTCGGTGTAACTTAAATTTCGGTAAATTCGGTAGAGAGACCAGGCACCTAAATTTAATTTACACCTAAAAGGCACTAGAGTATGCACTGTATGTGAAGGGAATAGTGGTCACCTAATTCAACATTACACCTGAAACCTGGCAGGCCCGTGATGCCGAAATTTTACCACACCTAAATTTACATGTTTTACGGTACGTTATAGCGCAACCCATTATGTACATGAAACAGTGTGTAACTCTGTTTCTCCCCGTGCATGATTGACTTAGCACTTGTGATCACAGTTGTGTGTGTCTTGCTGGGATCAGAAGGGCTCACCTCTATTCTGCGCTATTCCGTTCGTGATGGTTTGTCACATGTGAGAGTAAGTTGAGTGCACACACCTTGCTTTCCACACCTTGCCACCAGCCGATCTTCAGTATGAAATAATCGTATTGTCTAGCTCAGCTCTTTCATTCAATAGCAGTGCTTCTTTCCTCATCATGAGTTCCGGTCATTTTATGGAACGAAAACACTTGAAGATTTTCAGGAGCAAGACTACTAACTCTTCTCTCTGCTTCTCTTCGTCTCACCTTGCTATCGTGGAGTGTGGCTGGTGAGCTGTTTGCGCTAGTGTCTGCAAGCGTCGTGCGGCCGGTCCCGTCTGGTCACAAGAAGGACCCATCCGACTACTGAGCAGGTTTGACTGTATACGTGGTTGTAATAATTATTGTGTACACCAGGGGTCGTAAAATACCGGTATTTTACGACTCCCTGATGTGCATGTTTCTACTTCTTGCGGGGTGTGCCAAATTAGATCCTCTCCTTCGTTCTAAATCTTCCCTTTTCTCCCGAGCTTTTTTCCCCTCATGCTTATGCTTTCCTCCCGAATTTGGTGCGCCTGCCATGTGAAGAGGCCGAGTTCCTCTGGTCGGTTGAGCGTGGCAGTCCCCACCACGGGCCACCAGCACCATCTCACCCCATGTGCCTGCCGGTGAGTTGTGTACAGGTCGTCCCTCGTTAATACATAATCTCGGGGACTTGACAAATGTTATGTATTAACGGGGTTTATGTACTAAACGAAAGTGTACATAACTTGCTTGTATACCAGAATTTTTCATTTTTTCAACTTTTCTGAGTGTTTCTTGCTGCCATGACTAGGGAGCGCGATATTCTTGATTCCCTCGATATAACATAAAAATTATGTTATAACGGTCACAGTCAGCGAAGATTCTACAGTTTACATGATACACGCCCAGCCGGCGGCCGCGCCTGTACAGTCACTCGAAGAAAAAACAGAGCTTTGTCGGTTTGTGCTCTGATTTCTGAGCTAATTGCGTCCACAAGTAGAAACTAGAACACGACGTGCCTCCACTGGAAGGCCAAAAGACCAACAAATTATGTACTATTGAGGTAGGTGGCATGCGGGTACGGAGAAATCTTATGTACTAACGGGGTTTATGTACTAACGAATAAAAAGTACTAACCGACAAAATTTGTATGGGGGACGACCTGTATCTCTCTTGTAAAAAAAAAAAAATGTACGTGCTGTCAACTTGTCACGGTGATTAAGATATACATAACAGCCAAGAGTGTGAAGCTCCACAATGGCTGCAATCCCCGCAGATTTTCAAGACGACGACATTAGTCTGATGCAGGGAGTAGTAAAATACCGGTATTTTACGACTCCCTGGTCTGATGAACGTGCAACATGCTTTGTACAGTACTGTTGGGTGGCGATGAGCTGGGGACTCTGGGGAGGTCTTGTCTTGTGTTTGTCTCCACATGTCTCTTTGTAGGGCTGTGTTCCCAATAAAAATAAATAAAAAGGGGTCATAGCAAAAGTACTCTTGGTCGTAGCCTACCGCGGGCCGTTCCTATCACGTAAAAGAATTTAATCCTTTCATGTACAGATCTATCGGCACAGTTGAGACATAGTGTATATATCGGTACATGTATGCTCACGGTGCTCAGTGGTTGAAATCCTAACTTGTTCGGTTGTGGGCCGGCTCCGTTCTTCGGCGCCCGACTCTACTGTACCCGCAGTCACGCGAAACAAATTAAAAAAAAGGTAAATTATCCCAATGGGAATAGTGGTACTGACAAAAATAATATCCACCCACAGTGTTCCATGAAAACTAAATGTACTTGAAGTAGCAATCGAGTCTCGCCAGGGAACCACGGTTTTTCAAGGTCTTCTGCGTGGTGTTCATGGCTCCCTGGCTTTTACTAATGCTACCCAAGCTGGATTTGGTCCAGCGGGTTTCCTACATTCTGATAACTTGAAGAAATCCTGCATGCTTTCAAGAAGGAAGTTCTACACTTTACCCTTCGTCCTGGAAACGTCACGATGCGCTCCTATAATCAGTTCCCAACAGTTGAATTGTGACAAGCTTCAGGTAGGCGAACAAAAAGACTCTCTTCGACTGGTACAACTTCCACCTTGATGTACATGCACTTGCAAGCAGGGAGAACTATTACCTTGCAGTTCCAAGCTAGCTTTCGATTTCGGATTAGCAAATTTGAACGGGACCTCAAAACTGACAAAAAAGATGATGTTGCTCCACACAGTGAGACAGCTAACGACAGTACAGTTGTGTACTTCGTGTGCATGGTTGTCGACATTGTGACAGAAGGCAGATACAAGTCAACAGCGGGCAGTAGCAAATGAAAGGTGATCCAACTCCTAACCTTGGTCGCAAAGAACAACAAAATAAGAGCTGAGAGAGTCATCTTCGTCGAATGCACTGGCAAGAACTGAGAAAGAACCTTGCCATCCAAACAGAATTTGCACGTGATCAGCTGTTCATGACATCATTCTTGAGTTCTGGCGGGAAACAAATGGGAATCGTTTCTAGGACGACTGGCGCGAAAATGGCCACTTTTTGTGAGCTTTGCAAAATTTGAGATCTCATTCATAAAGGAAGTGACGTCATGAGTTTGGAAGTGTTCAATTCTTGACCCGAGCGAAATCATGATTTTGACTGGGTTGTTGTCTGATAATCAAGTAAAACATTGGCATTTGTGAAATCCCTAGGTGTTCCTGCAATCGCCCAGGGTTTACGCGACAGAATGCAAATAAATTCCACACAACTTCAGTCGCAAAAATAATTTATGCGGTATGTTTTGCAAATTTTGATTTCATTCAAGATTGGTGATACGATGTACCATGTGATACGAAGCTCAACGCCAAACCTGTGTTGCGTTGTGTGAGCGTTTTGTTGCTTTGCTTGAGAGTGTTTTCTGATGGAGAAGAAAGGCATTTGATTTCTCCTGTTTTTTTCAATTATCTAATGGGCTTTCGCTGAGTCTTTGCCCGTTGATGCGTCAGTGTGAACTGGCTGCAGTCACAGCACCCCTGCCATGGCGGAATCGGCTGCAGGTGATAGTTCTCCGAGCTCACAATCTCCGAGAAAGCGGCGTTTGACAACGAAAGAGAATCGTCTATTTGAAATCTTATTCTTGCCAGACGATGGCTCTTCGGCCACGGAGTTCCGTGGGTTCTTCTCCCAGGATCTTGGCCTGCAAGCCTACAGGTCGCCGAGTGGATGCGACACTGGGCAGGACTCTAGACCAGGTTCGCCATTGCTGGACAACACTGCCTGGTTCAATGCGCGAGAGAAAGAACAGCATCAAAGTAACGAGAGCGTTTGTCGCTCGCGTCGCAGTCAGCCAGAGCCGGTACTGGCCAAGAAACGGTCCGGTCGCGTCGTGAAGACGACGGCCAAGATGCAGGAGCTGTTGGATACGTCGCCAATTGAGCGTTTCAGTAACATGTCACGATCGTTTCACGATGGCTTGAGTGGCGAGAGTTTGCTGCGTGCGGAGTTCCGCAGTACGTTGCACTCGCCCGTGGCTGCACCGTCTGGTGGCGTGAGTAGTAGTGTAGGCGCTGGATCTGCAATGTCCTCGCCAGCACGCAGTGGCACTGTGTCCCGGAGCAGCAGCAAGTCCAGTGTGTCAGTAGCTGCCAGTCGCAGCAACACTGCTGTTTCTACTCCGGCCAGTGGATCCGTATCTGCCAGTAGCAGCACATCTGCTGTTTCTACGTCGGCCAGTGTATCAGCATCTTCCAGTCGTAGCAGCGCAACTGCTGTTTCTACGTCGGCCAGTGCGGCTGCTAGCATCACGTCCCGTAGCCGGCAGCCGACCGTTTCAGCCGCAGTGACCCCGGTGGCATCGTCAACGGCGACGGTGACGGCTACGGCAAGCCGGGACGAGCCACGTCGCCGCCACAGCTCTGCAGACGGCGGTCGTCGTCGGCAACGCCATCGTCATGGCATGAGCGTGTTCCGAGCGCGGCGCCGCGCGCGCCGCGCCACGGACGGCGATCGGGCGGCGTTGCCACGGAAACCACGTGACCGCGGCAGGAGCAGAGTGCGGCGCACCGACTTCACACGGCCTGCGCCGGCGGAGGGGGTCATGCGGCGTCTGCGACCGAGACTGGAATCGGAAACGGGCGATAACGAAGCCGCGGTCGCTGTTGGTAGCGACATCAAGACGGAAGCTGGTGTGCCCTCGACCACATCCGCGTTGAGACGTAAGCAGGCAGCGCCGCAACAGCAGCCGCAGCAGCAGCAGCCATCGGCGGACATGCCTTTCGGTGCTCGTCCCGCGCCGCCCGTGCGCACGCGCATCTCGAGTACGTCCAGCGGCACCAGCAGCACGGTGACTACGGACGACGAGCGTCGCAGAGGCGCCGAGCATGCCACACACCCATCCGCTGGCAGCAGCGGCGGCAGCACCACGGCAACCATATCCGTTCGCCGCAATCGCATCGTAACCCAGCTCAAGCAGCGCGCCCACCAGGTGGCCGCGCAGAAGCAGAAGCGCATCAATGCGGTGGCCATAGCCAAGAAACCCGCCACGACACCATCGCCGTCATCATCATCATCACGCTCCAAGGCTACGTCACAGCAGCACCGACTCGCGGCCGGTTCGCTAGTAGTCGAAGTCGAACCACTGGAGGAACCGGTGGTAGCCGCATCGCGCTCGGCAGTACGCAAACACCTGGCCCGCAGGTCAGCGCAGAGATTGAAGCTCGTCACCGACTCGCTGTACACGAGCGACGAGGACAGCGACGGAATGGACGACTTCGACGACTTTGACGACTTCCGCTGTAACCAGGCCGACGATCAGGTCATGGACGTGAGCTCTGGCGACGATTTCAAGCCGCCGGCCAAGAAGTTTGTGCTGAAGCGTAAGCACGCCGATGTGCCGTCGTCGTCTCAACGTGACACGGGCGCGTCCAGTGCCAGTGATCGTGACTACACTCCGCACAGTGCTTCCAGCAGTGGCCGTCGCAAGAAGGTCTCCCTCGCATCCAGCAAAGCACATCAGCAGCAACAGCAACAGCGTCAGGAGTTGTTTGCATGCGAGTCAGCTGACGACATGACCACCGTTGTCCATCTGGACCTGCTGGACGAGATGGACCGCCGCAAGTACGAGACGCCCACCGGGCGGCGTGCGCGCGGCCGCCCGCCCAAGATGCTGTCTCAGCCGCAGTCGTCGTCCGCCGCTGCAACTCCTAGCAGCCGCCGAGCACGTGCGGCCGACACTCGCCGACGGTCCGCTGCTAGTACGACGGTATCGGATGCAGAGCACGAATCAACGACAACTGCAGCGGCCGCGCAGACCGGTACACCGCATCGTCGTGGTCGCGGTCGACGAGTAGTCGCGTCCAAGCCCTCTGCCGACGATACTCCCGCCAGCAGCGGGCGTGAGGGCAAGTCAACCGAGTCACCGCCAGCGCACAGCAGCAGAGGCAGAAGGCTCAAGTCGTCATCGCCCATCCTCAATCTGCTCAGGGATCGATCACCACCCACCAGCAGCACCAGTAGCACCAGCAGCAGCAAGACGCCGAAGAAACGAGACAGCGGCTCGGCGCAGCGCAAACAGGACTCCACCAGCAGTGCATCCAAAACATCGTCAACATCTGCAGCAGCAACAGCAGCAGCAGCAGCAGCAGCAACACCGTCAACAACGTCAGCGACGCCAGTTCCGCCAAAGGCCGTCGTGGAAGCGGCAGCCGCGATTGCGGGCGTGGAGCCGGACGACGCCCGTGTGATAACGCGCACGGGCACGTTTCGCAAGCGTGCCATGCGCTGCGGCCAGTGCGAGCCGTGCCTGACGGAGAACAACTGCGGTGTGTGCTCCAACTGCCTGGACAAGCGCGAGTTCGGCGGCAAGAACATCAAGAAGCAGGCGTGCAAGCTGCGCAAGTGCGCCAACCCCATCATGCCGATCGTGGTGCCGTCGGCGCTGCGCGACGCCGCCATGGCCGCGGGGCCGCAGCGCGAGCCCTCGGACCCGGCCGGCCCGCGCATGAAGAAGAAGACGCTCAAGTTCGAGCTGATTGAGGCGGCCAAGCGCGAGGAGAGCGAGGAGCGCCGTCGTCAGCAGATTCAGCGCGAGGAGGCGCGACTGCAGCGGGCCGCTTCTCGCGCCACCGACTCGGCCGCCAAGCGTGAAATACAGGCGGCGGCCAGAGAGTTGAAGCGGCTCAAGAAGCTCTCCGAAGTCCGGCGTCCGTCGGTCGATGACAGCACGCCGAAGGAGAAGCAGAAGCAGCGTAAGCAGGCGTCATCTGCGTCATCGTCGCAACAGGACAAAACCGACGCCAAGTCCACGCTGGAGAGTCTGCCCACGCAGGTCACCACCACGGCGCAGCGCGGGCAGTCGCGCGTCATGCCGCACACGCGCGACAACATGACCGTCCAGGAGGCGTGCGCGGACGGCTACGCTGTGGCCACGGCCCGGCCGCTCACCGAACCCATGTGCTATCTGTGCGGGACCGGTCGTACAGGCAGCACTGCTGTTGACTGCGGTAATAGCACCGGTACGATGATGGATGAGCTGCGCTTCTGCGAGGCGTGCTGCGAACCAATGCACTCGTTCTGCTTTGTGGCTGCGCTCGGCGACGCGCACGTAGAGTTGCCAGACCTCCGGCCGTGGTCGGACGCGTCTGTTCCGTTCTTCTGCTCGCGCTGCCGCACGTGCGTCGTCTGTTCTCGTGCGGCGTCCGCGTCCAGCACCGGCACTCTGCTGGATTGCAGCCGGTGTCGTCGCCTCCACCACCCGACCTGTTTGCCGCCGCAGCATCCCACCAAGCCGTGTCGACGCAATGACGACAACTGGTTCACACCACCCTCGTCATCATCCGCGAAAGACGGTGGCGATGACTCATCGCCGTCGTCTCCCCCCAGCTGGCTGTGCCCGCGGTGCATCATGTGTACTAGCTGCGGCGCGGTGTCCGCCGCCTGGTCGCCCGACCCGCTCACCTGCCTGGTATGCCATCGGCGGCGCATCAACGGCCACTTCTGCACGATCTGCGACCGCACGTACCCGGACGACGACTTCTCCCTGGCTATGGTTTTCTGCATGGACTGCAAGCGCTGGATCCACGCCTCGTGTCAGCGCCTGACCAACGAGCAGTATCAGATCCTCGGCGAGCTGCCAGAGGACTCGGTCACGTTTGTCTGCAGCGCCTGTCAGCCGAACGCCGACGGCGTGACGCCCGAGTGGGTCACGGCGGTGCTGGAGGAGACGACGGCCGGCCTTCAGAAGGTGTTCGCCGCACTCAAGACCAGTCTGTCCAAGTGCAAGGATGCGGAGCGACCCTACTGGCCTCCAGCCGGCCTGAATGAGAACAATCTGGACGCTCTCACCGCCATGATGGAAGACGATGACGACGATGCGGCCGCCATGGCGACGGGACCTAGCAACGGCGGCGTTCATCGCAGCTTTGACCGTCTGCTGCGGCGCATCTGTGTGCGTGTCGACCGTAACGACTACGCCACCGTCGGCGAATTCCATCACGACATTCTGGCCTTCCTGGAAGTGCTTGGCAAGCAGCCGCGATCGTTTGAGCATGTGGCTCTCCTGCGCTCCGGGTTCAGCCGTACGATGCGTAAGCTGTTCCCGTGGTACGAGGTTAACAAGCCGCCCGTTCCGGATGGCGGTCGCGACGTGGAGGGACCACCCGTCATCGTGCGCCGTACCTCAACCACCAGCGATCCAGCTCTCAGTTTCCCGCAGCCAGGCGGCGATCACTCCTATGCAAGACGAGTTGCAAGCTCATCGGCAACAGCGACGTCATCAGTATCCGATGCCGGCGATGTCTTTGTTTCCGACCCGTCTGTTCCGTCAGTGGCTACCGGTACGCTAAATGTGGCGTCCACCTCGTCTGCCGTCGCCGATCCCGCGGGCGTGGGCACATCCGATGCAGTGTGTCTTAATGAACCTCGGGATGACTCCGCCACGCACACAGCTCAGAGCAACAACAACAGCAGCAGCAGTCCGCCAGGCACTAGTTCAAGTGTGTTGAGTGGTGGCACGTCAGTGATGGTCACTGGCAGTGTATCAAGCAACACCGCCACCACCACTGTGTCAGCAGCCAGTACAACGACAGCTGTAACGACCCACCGACAGTCAGCACGGCAGCTTATTGCCTTTGAGAGCGCCGAGGAGGACAAGCGCCAGTGCGGCTTCTGCGGCGGCTGCTCAGATGATATTACCAACACAAGCAGCAGCAGCAATAGCATCACCACGGCCACCAGCAACAGTGCCTCTGGTGCCGCAGGCAATCGTTCGTCGGAATCCCAAGATCGCGGTCGTCTGATGATGTGCACATCTGACGAGTGGGTTCATTTCAACTGTGCGCTCTGGTCGTCGGAGGTGTACGAACGGGAGGATGGCACACTGATGCAGGTGCAGGCTGCGATGATGCGATCGCGTCACCTGCGCTGCGAGGTGTGCGACTCTAGCGGTGCCAGCGTTGGCTGCTGCCACGGCCGCTGCCCGAAATCGTTCCACTACCTGTGCGCGCGCCGCAACGGCTGCACGTTCCTCGCCAACAAGAACGTCTTCTGCCGCGAGCACGGCTCCTCGGCCAAGAGCAAGCTGGCACTGGTCGAGAGTCACTTCAAGCTGGACCGTCGCCTGGTGGTGGACCTGGGTAAGCTGCGCGCCATGCGCCGCTACCAGTTTGGTATGCTGCCCAGCGAGGTACGCCTGTCCGTGGGTGGCCTGCGTGTGCTGCAGCTCGGCGACATCAAGGCGGCGTCCGACCGAGCCTCGTACCTGCTGCCGGTCGGCTTCCGCAGTCAGCGCGTCTTCTGGAGTGTGGAGTCGCCCGACCGCCTGTGCGTGTACACGTGCACCATCGTCGAAGAGCTGTGGCCCGAAGAGGAGGAGGCCGCGGACGCGAGCGGGCTGCACGCCGAGAACTCTCTGGCCGTGGCACATTCCGTGATTGATCACGACGCCGACGATAGCGCCACGCACAGCCCAGTTGTGTCACACAGCAGTAGCTCTACTCACAATACCACAACAGCAGCAGCAGCGACGGAGCATAACTCTGAACGCGTCGACACGTCAGCTGACAGCTGCTCAGCCTTGCCCGTTCTTGCAGGCGAACTCCTCTTCGAACAGCAGCAGCAGGAGCAGTGTTTGCCTCTGGTTAATTGCCAGCAGGTGGAGGCACTCATGGATGTATCTGAGAGCGTTATGGAAGTGGAGCAACACGGCGATGAACATCGGCAGCAGTGCTCAACTGACAATCACTTGGATGCTTCAGAGGTAGCCATGGACCTATCAGATAGTATTGTCTTTGAAATGTCAAACGCCATGGACGTAACGTCAGATACCAGTGTCTCTCAAGCCGATGACGCCTCAACCTATCCCAGCGTCACATTGCCAGATGCAGCTGCAAAAATAGCTACCACACCAGCGCCGGCAGCAGGAATCGTGTCAGCAACGGCGCCAACAACGGCAGCAGTAACAGCAACAGCAGCGCCAGCACCAACGGCAGCAGTAACAGCAACAGCAGCAGTAACAGCACCAACGGCAGTAACAGCACCAACGGCAACAGTAACAGCAACACCAGCAGTGGCAGCAACAGCAACGCCTGCACAAACAGCAGCAGTAACAGGAACAGCAGCGTCAGCACCAACGGCAGCAGTAACAGCAGCAACAGCAGCGCCTGCAACAACGGCAGCAGTAACAGCAGCAACAGCAGCGCCTGCAACAACGGCAGCAGTAACAGCAGCAACAGCAGCGCCTGCAACAACGGCAGCAGTAACAGCAGCAACAGCAGCGCCTGCAACAACGGCAGCAGTAACAGCAGCAACAGCAGCGCCTGCAACAACGGCAGCAGTAACAGCAGCAACAGCAGCGCCTGCAACAACGGCAGCAGTAACAGCAGCAACAGCAGCGGCAGCTACACCGACAGTGGCAACAGTAACAACAGCAGCAACAGTGAGTGCTATTGATGTCACCACTGAGCAGGAGCAGCAGCAGCCGACACACGAGCAGCCAGCATCAGTAACTACAATGGATATTGTTAGCCTAAGCCAGAGTGACACTGGCACACAGGGCGAGACTGGCTGTGCTCGTGCTGAGCCAGTCTCAGCGAAGAGAAGGCCTTCTAGTAATTGCAACTCGGCACATTCACCGCAGCAGAACGTCATTTCTGAAACCGATGTTGCTTCATCGGTGTCCGCTGCGGGAGCCGTGCCATCACCTCCAGTAACAGCAGCAGCAGCAGCAAATACCACAGCAGTAGCAGCAGCAGCAACGACAACAACTGCCACAGAACCCGCAGCAGCATCAGCACCAGGCAACGTTGTTCCATTGCCTTCCCCTGTGAGTTGCGCACAACCGACCACCAACTCTGTACCAGAACCGTCTGAAGCGATTCTGGCAACTGTCGAATCCGTCTCAACGGGCACAACCCCACCCACGCAAACCCTGGACCAACACATACAGCAACAACAGCATCAAGTAGACAGTGACAGTGCTCTGAACAGCTCCCTGGGTGAAGAAGACGTCAACTCGGCGGTCCGCGAGGCTTTCAAAGCGGTGCAGGAGTTCAGCAATTCTGTTGCCGCGTCGTCATCTCTACCGAACGGCCTGTCCTCCTCGGCGGCAGCAGCTGACGGTGGCTGCAATCCGCAGCGCAAGCAGAAGCTGCTTCACGAGCGCGCCATGGAGCTGTGGAGCGTGTCGTCGCAGCGCCTGGCCACCGCCAGAACGCCGGCCGAGAAGGTTGGCTGCATTGGCGAGCTTCAGCGCGGCCTGCTCGAGCTGGCACAGCAGCGCTCTAACAAGCCCGTGCCGGCCGCATTGCAGGCACCCGCTGCGTCGAGCGCAGCCACAGCTCTCGACATCAAGCCAGTGCTGGTGGCGAACGAGAAAGCACCAGCGGCACCCGAGACCTGTACCGAGCTGGCAAGCACGTTTGGCACTCCGACTGTGAACTCGTTAGGCAACCATGGTGTTTCTCTAGTAGAGCCATCAGCCTGTGAGCAGCAGCAACAGCAAGCTGAACTGGCGATTGCCAGCGCCGGCCCCGCTCACGGGGTCTCGGTGGCCGATCTACCACTCATCTACGGTATTGGTGATGACGTCGCTGCGCTGAGCAATGCCGTGACCGTTGCCACGTTGACTGTACCCGACTGCGTCTCCATCACGACGACGAGTAGTACCAGTGACACCACCGCCAGCAACAGCGTCATCACCGGCCTGCCGGACTACCTAACGTTGGCCGGTAGCCGAGCACTGGACATCCTGGCCAGTGGAAGCTCCATGGCTTGCTGGCAACCGCAGCCATTGTCCCTAGTAGCAGCGCCCCCGTTGCCCACCATCACTGCGCCGGTGTGCGCCGCAAGCTATCAGCAGCAGCAGCAGTCGCTTCGTCAGTCCACGGCTGTCCTGCCCGGTATTCTCAAACCGGCCTCGCCGAGTTCGGGCGCCTCGTCATGCTCGCCGTCCAGCAGCCGTGCCTCGCGCTCGGCCAGTCCGTCATCATCACCCTCGTTGTCCAGGGCTAGCGCTCACTCATCGTCCTCGTCCCTGGCCGCCGATAGCTCCGTTGTTTCGCTGCCGGACACAGAAGGTGACTTTGCGGCACAGGTGGCCGCACTCGAGGAGGCCGCCTCCATCCTGCCCAAGAGGAGGCGCAAGCAGACGATATCCACTATCGAGACCGACCTGCAGCCCATGCTGGTGCATGCTAAGGTTCCTCGAAACTCTGCCATCCTCAACTCGTCCGCGTCACCGTTGAAGCAGCCGCACTCGTTCTCGCCCGTGCGTCTTCAGCCGCAGCACGCCCGCCTGCAGGTCAGTCCATCACTGCCCTCGTCCCTGCATGCCTCGGGCTTCGCCGCCTCGCTGCAGAGCAGTCCGGCCTCGACAACATCATCGAGCTCCACCACGCCAGCTGTGTCACACACGTCACCAAACAATAACTCGCAACCTAGCTCGCAATCTCCCACCACTATCATGATGGAGTCGTCCGTGCTGCACAAGCCGTCCGCACGCACGACGTCTTGCGTCGACGCGTTCTTTGGCCGAGAGGCCAGCAGCAGCAGCGTCGGTAACTCCAACAGCGCGTCGTCGTCTCTTTCTCCTCTCCTCAACCCCTCCAGTGCGTGCTCCTCGTCCGCATGTTCTTCATCGTACTCGCCCGTAAAAGCAAGTAGCCTGCTTTCGGCCGGTAGCACAGCGGATAGTTCGTTCACCGCGGACTCTGCCGTTGATCAGCGTCATGCTGGCGGTTCAATGCCCGTCACCGTCCGCTTGCAGGGAGCGTCCAGGTTCATCCAGCAGATGTTCGCCGCCGCACCAGCAACAGTGCCGCCGGCAGCTGGCCGCGCGCCAAAGCCGAAGCGCGACTCTCGCCCGCTGAGTGGTCTTGCCGGCGTGCGGTCAATACTTTCGGAGAACAGCTCATCTGGAACCTTGGGTGAGTCGCCAGTCACGATCGGCGAAGCCAGCAACTCCGTTCGTTTTAACGCTGCCGATTGCGTGTCCCCACCACCGATACACTCCGAGACCGTCGTGGCAGGCTCCGGCACTAGCACGGTCGATGCAGTGAATCTATCAGAGCATGTGGATGTGACGTCCACACAGCATCATGGTCCTCGCTCGTCACGCAAGTCCGTGTTCATTCCCAAGACACTGCGACATGCTCATCGTCCTGTGTCGGCCCTATCACCATCGTCGTCGTCCCAGGTTGCTACAGGCAACTCGTCCATCCGTCACGCCAAGTTCTCTCCGCGCCCGGGTAGTGCCGTGGCGCGTGTCAGCATCCGCAGCTCTGACGGCTCCTTCGACCGGGACAGTCTGCATCCGGACGAACTCTGGCAAGCGCTCACCAGTCAACTGGAGGAAGCACGCGCTCAGCGTGGCATGCCACATCTGGACGTGGGCGCCGGCTTGAACGGTCTCTCGTTCGTCGGCCTCGAGCAGGAGTGCTTCGTGCGCCTGCTCGAACAGCTTCCTGGCATGTCGCAGTGCCGCGGC